TATATCTGTTACGTGGGACTGAGAAATATTCTAAGCAGCGAGAGCGAAAAATATAAAATCTACAATATATCAGAAGGAGATCGTCGAAGTTAACTGCTGTTGAAACCGTGACGTTTCTCGTATTTAGTTACTGAGAATTTGCATGTTTTGAATAATGCAGCTTTATAACAAGGCTGTTCATATTAAAACTTTATAATATTTGTCATAATGATTGAGTAAGAATAGTATATATTGTCAAACACCATATACAAATGTGTCATTGAATACGTGTTTATACAAACAAATACATTTTGAGAGTAAAGTATTTTCTCGCAATAATTGTATATTATCCTTTTTAAAATAACATTGTTGAAGTGTCGACTTCAAAATTTACGGCCTAAAATGCACTATCTCCAATAATTCTGTTTTTACATTACACATATACGTAAGACATGATTTTGATTGATATTTATAACATATTGTTTTATGTTTTCCATTGTATTAATTCTTTAAAATCTGTCAAATCCGAATTGTCTGAATTTATCAATTTTAACAAATTAATAAATCTGGTACCTTTGATGAGTTTTTATAATTAAAAGACCTTTTGTACATTAACATTTGTCGAATGGAGCATGCACTGCATACCCTTCCGAATCACTGGGTGTTAATTCCTACCTTTTGCTATAAAGGGTTCTTGTTGCTTTTGCTTCAGTTTTGTTGTTGTTGTATTTGGTGCTATTTTTATTTCCAATGTCTGTAGTGTGTACCTGTTGGGAACTGCTATACATGTAAACCACCATGACCATCCCGGAGCGCCTGCATTTACCCCATTTTTAAAGGGGTTCATGTTGCCTAATTTGCAGTTTTCTGTGAAGTAATTTATAATAGTTGTTTTTCTTTTCTTCTTGTTTTACAATTGTGTTATTTTTTCAATTTTTAACACCCACAATATAAAAAAAGAAGATGTGGTATGATTGCCAATGAGACAACTCTCCACAAGAGACCAAATGACACAGAAATTAACAGCTTTCAACAACGAGCAAAGCCCATACCGCATAGTCAGCTATAAAAGGCCCTGAAATCACAAATGTAAAACAATTCAAACGAGAAAACTAACGGCCTAATAAATGTACACAAAAATGAACGAAAACCAAATATGTAACACAGCAACAAACGACAACCACTGAATTACAGGCTCCTGACTTGGGACAGGCATATACATACAGAATGTGGCGGGGTTAAACATGTTAGCGGGATCCCAACCCTCCCCCTAATATGGGACAGTGGTGTAACAGTACAACATAAGAACGAACTATAACAATCAGTTGAAAAAGGCTTAACTCATCAGATGAATACATATAGAACTACATATAACAAAAACACAGAGTGGAAGTGGCCGGGTACTTGTACATCCCAACAACAAAAGACGCTAAATACAGATCTGAGAGTACTCGCAGTTACTGACAGCTAGTTCAAAGCCAATAACAACTAATTAAAAAAATCATGCATCTAAGACTAAATTATCTATCAGTACACATCCAACATCCAATGGATTTAGTGTAAAGACGTCATAAACAGTCAGAGAAAAACATGACCTTGTGCAATGCCAAGATACAGAAATCGACAGACTGTAGATCCATGAAGGTGCATATGTATATAACAATAATATTTAGTTTGTTTTTAATTTACTGATAACAAAATCAATATTAATACAATAAAAACAATATTCAAAAATCTAATGACAGTGTTGAATTGGTAACCTTTTAGAATAAGTTTATTTAAAGAATCGATAAGTTTACTAGGATCGTTTCTAAATTTCCGGGCACGGTCAACAACATCTCCGTAAAAATGAGGATGTGCTATCCCGTTTGAAATAAGTTTTCTACAGGTACAATCAAACTTCGAAACCAAATCATTATATCTATGGATGAATTTAGTAAAAGTTTTAAGTAATTTGTGGTAACAAAATCCCTGACTTAATAATTTACCAGTAATACATAGATTACGTTCGTTAAAATCTAAAACGTCACAGCAGACACGGGCATAGCGAACGAGTTGTGAGATATAAACACCGTAAGATGGTGCCAAAGGAACATCACCATCCAAAAAAGGAAAATTAACAATAGGGAACGAAAAATCGTCCCTTTTGTCGTAAATTTTAGTGTGGAGTTTCCCGTGTAAAACTGAAATATATAAATCTAGGAAAGGACAGTTATTAGCGTTTACATTTGATTTATTTAAAGTTTGTTCCTTTAGGTAAAATTCGGCAGTATATTTAGAAAATTCTTGATTATTTAACGAAAATATATCATCAAGATAACGGTAAGTGTTGTTGAATTTATTGATTAAATGCAATTTAGACGGGTCTTTACTGCGTTTGGTCATAAGCTGTGATTCATAACAGTACAAAAACAAGTCTGCTATTGAAGGGACACAATTAGTGCCCATAGGAATACCTAGAATCTGTCGATAAACTTTGTTGCCGAAACGTACATAAATATTATCAAGGAGAACATTAACAGCTTCAATCATCTCATCACACTTCCAGTAAGTATATCTAGCATATTTACCTTTCTCATAAGGGAGGAAGGCTTTAAATGAGTTGTAGCAAATATATTTGCATTCAGATTTACCAAACGACCATTTAATTAAATAGGAAAACTTTTGTTTGATAAGATTGTGTGGAAGTGTAGTGTATAGAGTTGAAAAGTCAAAACCGTCAACATAATCAAAAGGACCATCAAAAGCACGTAATTCATCTAAAACATCCAAAGAATTTTTTACACTCCAAAATTGTAAATTCCACTATTTTCATATATTTTATTTCAAACGTTTATGACAAGTTCTTTTATAGAATTTAAGGAACTAGTTAAAAGCACTGAAAGATGAGTTGTAGAACACTTACTAGAGGCCGAAATGAAACGATATTTTACTGGTTTTTTGTGTAGTTTAGGTAACCAATACATAGTAGGGACCTTCAAATGTTCAGAAGAGGCCTTAAGCTGTGATGTGGTTATGATATGTTTGTTAACTATATGCCTATCTGTGAAGCGGACGGACTTGAATGTAGATGAATTTAAAGTTTCATTCTTAAGAACGTCCGTGTAGTATTTACGGCATACCACCACCACATTGTTGGCTGCTTTGTCGGCCGGTACAAACACAAACCGCTTTGAAAGTTCTTGAAGTTTATTTCTTATTCTGGAAATAGGCATATTGTGTACTCTTTTATTTATTTCTGAATTATTTTCAAAATGTGATATTCGAATATCCACAACATTCATACATTTATTTAAATAAGAGTCAAGAGTTTTTATCAGATTTTTCCCGTTTACACCAATTTTTACAAAACGAGGAAAGAGCGTCTTTTGTGACCTGACCACACTGTTTCCAATCTATTTTAGATGGAGGACGATATTTTGGTCCTTTTTTCAACCTCTCTGTCTTGGACGATAAGGTATATATATGAGGTCCCCCGTAATAACATGGCAATAGGGATCATATCTAAACTTCGACGATTCACAGTTTCAAGTTAAAGGAGTATTATTTTCTTCATTGACGTCTGATGTTACTGACGTATAATTACAAATTAAACTTCTGCTGGTTTTTTTGAATGTGTACGAAATAAAAGGTGGTTCTGTGTTATCAAAATAGGGAGGTACAAAATATATACAGTTTTGAATGGTAGGGTCATTAAATATACTCGATAAGTTGATTAAATCAATATCTCTGTTAATATATTTAATTTTCAGAAAGTGCCGTTTATGATCTTCAGGTTTATCGATACGCGAAAACAGCCTATGGTGGCAAAATGCTGTAATTATACGCGAATATTCATACAGTGGTCTGAAGAAGAATATTGTGTCACACTCCTTGAAAATATCATGTAATTTACTAATAGTTCTTTATTGCACTCCTTGATGTTTACCAAATTTAATGCTTAATGTACAACATTCTATCAAGTAGAGTAAGTAATCCATATTCGCCGCATAATTCGTACATTCCCACTTACATCCGACCTACATTCGAATATTTGGAACTTTTTATGTAGGTTTCAGAAATTTAACTATATGAAAAAAATGTTTGATAAAGGAATCATTTTCAAAACATTGGTTAAATGTTCTAAAAACAAACGCAATTCAAGAGGAAATCAAGTTGTTCTTGTACCATGGGGGACACATTTTCGCCGCAATGTATGATATGACCATCCTCATTATCCTGGTATATTATTAAAACGAATGTTTGCAATAACATAAATTAGCTTGAGAGATCATTACTTTACGATTTTTCTCACAAATATTTGTGTTAAGACTGCGCATGATTGCCATATAAATCTTACATAATTGCCAAAATTGTTTACTAACACCTGCGTATTTCTTTATATGTGCGAATAACCTTGGAAATGGGGTAAAGAGGAATATCAACAGTTCAAACATTACAAACAGCCTTTACCATCTTTTTAGGCAAGTATTGGGTAAACATGGTAAAGGCACAAACATTTCACAGAAGAAATAGCAAAACGGCGAAAATGTGTCCAAGGCGAATATGCGCCACCCACTCTAGCCTTGTTACATTTATACTGAATGTCCAGGGAGAATATTCAGTTAAACATATCTCATTCTATACATAGTCATTCTAATACAGTTAACTGTTCTATTTTTTTAAAACTGTAATTGCTATGTAATCACAATTCCATTATATACAAGTATATATGTAAAAATACTACAAACACTATGTCGCAAAATTAAAGGAAAATATTATTCTTTTACAAGTACTACCCGGCTGACGAGTGATTTCTATTCTGTTAACATGGTTAAAAATAAATCCTGACAGTTTTAAATAATGATAGAAAATTTAGATAATTCAATCATCAAATAATCATTCATCATCTCAATTGTAATCATTTTTGCTTATTATTCCTCAAAACAACACAAAATTCAAAAACAAAATTAACTATCTTCATTCAATATTCTTAACGGAGATTTACTTGTAAACAAATTTTAGTTATCTACCCTTTCTTACCAAGATCTAAAACAGGGAAGTAAAATCCTTGTCACAAAAACGAAAGCAGGTGCTGATTTGTGTTCCAGAAATGTAGAGAAGGTAACATATTTGTAGTATTTATATTTGGATTAAAATTTTTATATTAAGTTTCCTAAACAAAATTTGAAATTAGTTTCTTATTCTAATAGTATTGTTACTGAACTCGTTTGTTGATAGTTGTTAAGCATGCGTAGCCAAGACAATGTTCTAGTATGTTTAAAGATCTTTTAATAAATTTATTTGTAAAACAAATATGTGAATGTTAATAAAATACCTAAATTTTAAGATAAGAATGTTCATTTGAATTAATTCAATATATAGTATAGGCACGATAGATAATCAATGTTACCCACATGATCAACTAGGGAAAGATAAAAAAAAATACATTTTACACATACACTTTTATTAAATGGAGGTATTAGACCCGAAATTCGTTTGAAAAGCTGATTTTTCTAATGGCAAAAATCCCAGGATTTCCTTAATCAGCAGAATGCGTGAAATTGATCATAAGCATGAATTCGAAGTTTCACAAAAGTTCATATTTCCAAGAACAAGTAGTGAATCATCACAACAAATTTTAATGATTCATTTAAATTACCTTGACGGGTATTCAACACTTAGAAAGTAGCAGTTTTATTGTCAGATGCTAACTATTATACTTCTAAGAGTTGTTATTTTCTGTTTCATCAAAATGCATACTATTATATATATGGTTGGGCAGCTTGTTTCAAACTCAAGAGTGACTGGCATATAGAAACCTTCCCAAAGGGACGTCCGTTTGGCTGAACAGGATGTATAAAAATGCATGGCCCAACGGAATATGGATGTTAAATTCGATGCCTCGTGTAGAAATTACCACACCCTTTGCACCTTGAAACAACTATCTGAGGGGTCTGTTGGTTGTCTGTTGCAATACATTTCTGCCCCCATCTAACAAACCATTATTTTCCTGTTGGAGTTCAAATATATTTTCCTCCCAATCTTGCAGAATCTACCATTTGTATTAATTGTTAATTTGGTATCATCATTAACATGCATGAAATATAAGCCATTGTACGTTAAGCAAACAGCAATCAATCAATCAATCAATCAATCAATCAATCAATTAATCAATCATTCAGAATGTTTCATTCATTACGTGTAGTTCGAAATTCTTTCATGCGTTTTTTCAGACTATCATATGGAACGCCACAGCTGTCTTATGTGGTACTCTGATATTACGTTATATTGTTTTATCCTGCAATCAGCCAACTATTGTACAAATAATAGGTACACAAATAAATTTTTGCTTTGTACTTGTACAAATAAAGTCTCCTGTTACCCCTCTTCCATGTTGAGCAAGCGGTAATGTGGATATTTCTTTTTGCGTACCAGTTCATTTTGGGGTCCTCTTCGCGGTCCGCGTTTAAACTATGTCGATTTCTTTGAAATATTAGAGACAATGATTTAGATTTTAACAACTAAAGTTTTTAAGTGTTGGGTGTAAATTTCAGGATAAAAACAATATATGTACATTGTCGCAAAATATAAAATTTATTTGTACTCGCTGCGAAACAGGAGAAAAGCTCGGCGAGCCTCGCTTTTCGTCCTGTTTCTAAAGCTCATACAAATAAATTTTATATTTTCCGACAATGTACATATATTGTATATTTATTATTACTTGACGATTTTTTGTCTTTACATAATATTGTTTTGACATTACGTAATGATGTTTTGATATAACTCAATATGGAATAGTCATTACTTAATGATATTTCGATTTTACGTGATATGGTTTCGTATTGACTTGATATGGTTTTTCATTACTTAATATGGTTTTGTCATAACTCGATGTGATTTCATCATTATTTAATGTGGTTGTGTCATTAGACAATGTGGTTTTAACATTACTTGATGTGTATGTTGCTTTGTAAGCCAAAAAAGTGTCCCATGAAATTGTGTCTTCTTGAACTATATTTCACAGTTCATCTGTGAAATTTCGTTCACGGGACAGAATATCACATTTGTAAACTATAAAATAGTGTCTCCCTTAGTGAAAAATTGTACCTAGTACTTGTGTAACAGCCACTATGTTCCGTCAGTTACTTTGTTCCGGCGGAACTTTTCAACTAGTTATTTCGTTCCGACGGAACTTTCCAACTAGTTGTTTTATTCCGAGAGCAGTCGAAAAGTTCCGGAAAAAAATAGCTAGTTGAAAAGTCCCGGAACAATGTAGCTAGTTGAATAGTTCTGGCGGAACAGAACAACTAGTTACATCGTTCCGAATATACAATATTTCGTCCTTTTTGTAGAAAGAGGGGGAAGAATGAGTATCAGTATATATAAGAGCAAATCATTAATTTACAAGAATACCCAACGCACTGAAAGGGGTTTCTTTGGGGACAAATATGCAAAATTTAAGTTGTATTTCATAGCTCACATAAAACGGAATAAGTTGCATTATTATGCAAATTTAGTATTCATAGTACCCTCAAGAGAGGGAAGAATACACCCCTCCTCATGTGGTTATTTGCATCAATTCTCCAAATGGAACTTTGTGACTGGTTGATAAGTTCCGTTGGAACTTTTGGGCTAGTTTGTTAGTTCCGGTTTTGACTTATTTGCCAAAGAGGAACTTTGTGGCTAGTTGATAAGTTCCTTTTGACTTTTGTTATCAGTATCTTGGTTTCCCTTTGAAAGGTTCAAATATAATATGTTGTGCTTTTACTTTGCATCAATTCTCCAAATGGAACTTTCTGCCTGGTTGATAAGTTCCGTTGGAACTTTTGGGTTAGTTTGTTAGTTCCGGTTTTGACTAATTTGGCAAAAAGGAACTTTCTAACTAGTTGATATGTTCCGTTGAAACTTTTCAACTAGTCACTTTGTTCTGGTGGAACTTTTAAACCAGAGGAAGAACAAAGTAACTAGTTAATAAGTTCCTCCGGAACTTTTCGGCTTGTTAGTTCTTTCCGCCCGAAACTTTCCAACGTCGGAACAAAAGAGCATTTACACTTGGACATAATTTCAATTATGTTTTATAAAAATACGTCACAAGGGACAATTTTTCATAGTGTAGCTATTTTTATCTGTCCCTAAAGAAGGAAAATAATTTAGCAATCATTGAAATGTTTTAATCAAATAGTTAAATCATAATTGAAATTTAAATCAAGACAACACAGATGTGAACAAAAATGGAAAGTGGTGAATATAAACAGCTATATGATTTTTTGTTTGATGGTCAATACCCTCCAGAGTTTAATAATAATGATAGAAGATCATTTAGAAGGAAGGCCAAGCAATCTGAAATTAAAAACAATGAAATATTTTATATACATGTTGACAAAAAATCATTTATTGTAAATTAAATTATTTGGTATTAGACAAGACTTTTATGCAATTTGGACATGATTTCACTATGAAAAAATATCCAACAAAGGTCAAAATAGAATATCTTTTCAAGGGACACTTTTACACAGAAGTGGACAATATTTTATAATAAAATTCTGTCCTGGACAAAATTTCACAGGTCATATCCTTGAAATTTTGTCCATGGGACATAATTTCATGGGGGACACTATTTAATCCTACAGCTTAACGTAATGTGTGTTTTGTTATTTCGTAATGATGATTTGCCAATTCTTCATATGGCTTTAACATTATATAATGATGGTTCAAAATTTGAAGATTTTACACAACATGATGTGTTTGTTCCTGTATTTGATGTGGTCCTGTCATTCTTTGATGTGGTTATCACATTACTTGATGAGGTAAAGCCACGTGACCATTTTGGAAAAAAATAGTTCTATTTTTAGACCGATTTCCATATGTCGTTTGTTTAATGTGCTTCAGATGAGTGTCGCTATCCATTGAGTTAAAGTTCAAATTAAAGTTCGAGTGGTTGTTCAGAGTTATTTGGTATGAAAAAGGGGAACGGCAGACAAAAATAAGAAAAAAAGTACAAAAAAGTATCAATATTTCGGACATTAGGGGGATATCCCCAAACCACTTGGTCCTGCCGTTTTTTCCCCTTAGTTCTCAAATGGAAGCAGTATTACAATAAATTCGTGAAGAATTCCACGGAACCCTGCGTCTCGCCTGGAATTGCTGCTGTCATTGTAAAAGTGTAATGTTGTAATGACTGTAAAACGTCCATTTATCACTGGTGTTAAACTGATCGTGGTAACTGCAGTTACCACGATCCAAACATTGCGGAGGTAGAAATCGGTAAAAACGTTTTCTGCTTATTTCTCCGTGTAAACGTGTTGTTTTCAAGAATTACTCAGCCACCAGGTTGATCTGTACGATTTTGTTTTGTGTGTTTGTTCTTAATATCATATATGGTCTCGTTACCAAGATAATAGCCATCGAATATTTAAGGAAGATAATCGTAACTCCAAAAAAAAATAATCGTAACTTGTGGACAAATAATTGGAAAGATAATCGTAACTGTAGAAAATATGTCAATGATAATAGTAACTGATTTTTTAGTACCTCTGCTAACGGAATATTTGATAAAAAGATTGCGTCATAATAACAACTTACACGTAAACAACACTCAGGATTGAAATACTCTTTCAAAATAAAGTAAGTTTGCAATTTTCATTTATACAAAACTGAGTCTACTTTTCTGTACTGCCACCGTAATGACGCTATATAAGGCCGCCTCGATTATATCAGAAAACGTTTTTAGAATCTAAATGATTGACGGAATCTCCTGATCTTGATCTTAAGGGTAAATTTGACACAACTTGTCTCTTGATACTACTTTGTTTCCCCATATGGTATACCATTGCTCAAAGTAATTTGTCACGGTACTAAAGTATACTTGTTTAGGCGCAGCATCGGGATTCAGGGCTTGCCAGTTCTTTAAATCGCCTTGATCTTGCTATGTATTCCCCTACAATTTGAGATGTTGCTTTGTAAGTTTCTCTATTTGGTGGTGACGATATTGATTTTATGTCTGTTGGGATGTTCATTATTTCCATCTGTCTCAGCATGTCTTCTCTTTCCGGTTGGTGTCTTGGGCTGTATAGCAAGAAATGTTCTGTTGTTTATATGATGGCGTATGACATATCAGGCGT